ATCTCTTGCATTCTTATATACTAATGATAAGAAATCTGAAAGAGAAGTTAAGGAAACACTCCCATTTACCACTGCAACAAAAAGAATAAAATACCTAGGAATAATCCTACCTAAGGAGACAAAAGACCTGTATGCAGAAAACTATAAGACACTGATGAAAGAAATTAAAGGTGGTACAACCAGGTGGAGAGATATTCCATGTTCTTAGATTGGAAGAATCAACATTGTGAAAATGACTATACTACTCAAAGCAATCTACAGATTCAGTGCAATCCCTTTCAAACTACTAATGGCAGTTTTCCAAAACTAGAACAAAAATATGACAATTTGTATGGAAACACAAAAGACCCTGAAGAGCCAAAGCAATCTTGAGAAAGAAAAATGGAGCTGGAGGAATCAGGCTCCCTGACTTCAGACTATACTACAAAGTTACAGTAATCAAGACAGTATGCTACTGGCACAAAAACAGAAATATAGATCAATGAAACAGGATAGAAAGCCCAGAGATAAACCCATGCACATATGGTCACCTTATCTTTGATAAAGGAGGCCAGAATATACAGTGGAGAAAAGACAGCCTTTTCAATAAGTGGTGTTTGGAAAACTGGACAGCTACATGTGAAAGAATGAAATTAGAACACTCCCTAACACCATACAGAAAAAATAAACTCAAAATTGATTAAAGAGCTAAATGTAAGGCCAGACACTATAAAACTAGTAGAGGAAAACATAGGCAGAACACTCTATGACATAAATCACAGCAAGATCCTTCTTGACCCATCTCCTAGAGTAATGGAGATAAAAACAAAAATAAACAAATGGGACCTAATGAAACTTCAAAGCTTTTGCACAGCAAAGGAAACCATAAACAAGACCAAAAGACAGCCCTCAGAATGGGAGAAAATATTTGCAAATGAATCAACTGACAAAGGATTAATCTCTAAAATTTACAGGCAGCTCATGCAGCTCAATAACAAAAAAATAAACAACCCAATCCAAAAATGGGCAGAAGACCTAAATAGACATTTCTCCAAAGAAGATATACAGATTGCCAACAAACACATGAAACGATGCTCAACATCACTAGTCATTAGAGAAATGCAAATGAAACTACAATGAGGTATCACCTCTCAACGGTCAGAATGGCCCTCATCAAAATATCTACAAACAATAAATGCTGGAGAGGGTGTGGAGAAAAGGGATCCCTCTTGCACTGTTGGTAGGAATGTAAAATTGATACAGCCACTATGGAGAACAGTATGGAGGTTCCTTAGAAAACTGAAAATAGAACGACCATACGACCCAGCAATCCCACTGCTGGGCATATATCCTGAGAAAACCATAATTCAAAAAGAGTCATGTACCACAATGTTCACTGCAGCACTATTTACAGTAGCCAGGACATGGAAGCAACCGAAGTGTCCATCAACAGATGAATGGATAAAGAAGATGTGGCACATATATACAATGGAATATTAGCCATAAAAAGAAACGAAACTGAGTTATTGTAGTGAGGTGGATGGACCTAGGGTCTGTCATACAGAGTGAAGGAAGTCAGAAAAAAAAAAAATATTGTATGCTAAGACATATATATGGAATCTAAAAAAAAAGAAAAGGTTCTGAAGAAACTAGGGGCAGGACAGGAATAAAGATATAGACATAGAGAATGGACTTGAGGACACAGGGAGGGGGAGGGATAAGCTGGGATGGAGTGGGAGATTGGCATAGACCTATATACACTACCAAATGTAAAATACATAGCTAGTGGGAAGCAGCCGCATAGCACAGGGAGATCAGCTCAGTGCTTTGTGACCACCTAGAGGGGTGGGATAGGGAGGGTGGGAGGGAGACACAAGAGGGAGGGGATATGGGGATATATGTATACGTATAGCTGATTCACTTTGTTATACAGCAGAAACTAACACAACATTGTAAAGCATTTATATCCAATAAAGATGTTAAAAAAAAGATGTAAAAATTAAAAAAAAGAAAAAGAAAAAGAAAAGAGCCAGGAACCTCATGAACATGTTCAAAGCTCTAGCTCTGGTAGGTACTACATAATCTTAAATGACAAGAGAAACAAGTTAAGAGTTAGGTTATTTTTGGATGATAAGGCTATTTAGGTCAGCTTTTGTGGAAACATGTTCAGCAAATTCCATCCCAAAGATATTAAACTGAGCAGTGTATTAGGTTCAGGTTTTTGGATACCGTTCATGCAGAGCACAATAAAAAAGCTGGAAACCAGTGCTGGAATCAGCTACTGGTGCTCTGGGAACCATTTCCAGGCCCAGTGTTTGCAGATGTCACCAAGAGTTCCTGAAATGGCTGAGTTCTGATGTTGGCTCTTGTAGTGAACCTCCAAGTAGGGATGCACACAGCATGGGGCAAAGTCAAAGCCGCAGCATGGGGAAAGCTCAGCCTCATGTGCTGGATCTCACCTTGAGCTAAAGATTGTCATCAGAGACATGCAGGGGAAGGGGGCTACTCCACCTGTTCCTTTGGGGCAATACAGTAATGATGGACAGATGGGTAAAGAAGTAGAATATACTCCTCTGTATTTTCAGCTGTATCTATGAGCCAACCCAGAACAGTTCCAATGGCTCCACAGTTCCAATGAGACCCAAATCTGTCCTTGACCCCGAGGGCATCTTTAGACTCCTGGCTTTGTCAAAGTGCCAGACTGGGTCATCTTAAGAGATGCCACGATCACAGTCACCTGGTTACCTCCAAGGTATCTTTAGGACCACAGAGGCCCTCTGGGTAGCCATAAAATAGCACAGCTGTGTGACAGAAGGACACAGAAACAGGAAGCTCAGGGAGAAGTGGGGTGACTAACGGGGTCTAGTTTTGTGGGGTGGGGAGTAGAGTACAGTCAAAAGCAACATCTCTGGAGAGGCATTCTAGGCAGTACAACTTGTGTAGTGAGCAACAGGAAACAACTTGGGCAGACCACTCCAGCTAACCAACAGTTGTAGCCTGAAGCCACCAAGGGTTGAAACCTCCAATGGCAACAAGCCCTTCAAGGGGCCTCTGACTCATGGGCAGGTGTATCTGTGGTATAGCCAGTGTGTGAACTCCACATTGACGGACGCAGTGAAGAAAATTTGTCCAAGTGGAATATAGAGGGTGTTCATTTTAATTGACAAGGCAATGGTGACATGGCAGCACATGGATGCATTTGCTTCAAAGAGTTGACACATGAGCAACTTCGTCAAATACAAGACAAGGACAGATTCTTTTTGGCATAAGTACCTCAAAAATCATCAAATAAAAATGGCAGAGGAGTGGTGGGACACAGTGCAAGTCAGTTGGCTCATGTGGTATTTCCTTTCAAGGGGGACTTCTTTCTATATAAAATCCACACTTGTGTCATCATGGAAAAGGAACTTAAAAAAAAAAATCTAATCCAGAGGTAATTAACAGTTATGAAGGAAGGATGGGACAGGGCTATGAACCTTTTCATTAAGAATCCAGGTTTCGGGCTTCCCTGGTGGCGCAGTGGTTGAGTCCGCCTGCCGATGCAGTGGGGACGCGGGTTCGTGCCCCGGTCCGGGAAGATCCCACATGCCGCGGAGCGGCTGGGCCCGTGAGCCATGGCCGCTGAGCCCGCGCGTCCGGAGCCTGTGCTCCGCAACGGGAGAGGCCACAACAGTGAGAGGCCCGCGTACCGCAAAAAAAAAAAAAAAAGAATCCAGGTTTCTTCTTAAGGACTCTAGAAATTCTATGTTAGGTATTTCAATTTTGAAGATAAGGAAACAGTATATTGAAGGGGCTTTTCTTTGATATAAGATAACTAATGAGGTTTGATTCTCATCTCCTTCAATGAAGAAAATTTGTCCAAGTAGAATATAGAGGGTGTTCATTTTAATTGACAAGGCAATGGTGACATGGCAGCACATGGATGCATTTGCTTAAAAAACAAACCCCTTCCCCCAAGATTCCCCTTTCTAAATAAATGTTCAAAATTACCTAAATTTACATATTATAGGGAACTCAAAAGAATTCCTTTAGATCCCATGCTATGTAGGAAGTAATATTTATGATGGGTAAAAAGAAAATAAAATACTGGTCTAAGCCAGCCCTTCATATGTCACAGGCAAGTCTTCTTACACAACGACCAGTCCAAGACCCGAACCATGGAGAGCGTTAATTGAGGAGCTTTCTCCTCTGCAACGTTTCTCCACTCAGACCATACTCAGGTCTAAACCATTGGTACTCAGCATGCGGTCCCAGGACCAGTAACATCAGTACCACCTGGGGACTTGTTCATGTGCAAATTATTTGGCCCCTATTGAATCAAAAACTCTGGGGGTGGGACCTGGGAATCTGATTTAAGGAGCCTGCCAGGTGATTCTGATGTGCCCTGAGATGTGAGCACCACTGCTCTCCACATTGCAGTAGCCTGGTCTCAGGTCCAACAAGCCTGGGGAATGACTCTGAGGCCATGAGATGGGAAGGCTTCAGTGGGCGTGCTTGGGTGGGATTGGTCTGTGACAACGGGATCCCGCTCTGTGTGGCCAAGGTCAGCGCAGTGTCTGCCTTATCACGCTTCCTTGGATATGGAAACCATCAACGCCAAGACAGTTTATTGCTAATGAAGCAAAGTTAGACAGACTCAGTCTTTTGTTTCTGCCATTCCTAATCCTCCTGTCCTGGGCCACTGGCAGAAGTAGATCATGCCCAAAAGGAAAATTGGGTTACTTAAACCAGGGTTTCTCAGTCTTGGCACCATTGACATTTTTGTCATGAGGAGCTGTCCTGTGCATTTTCAGCGGCATCCCTGGCATCTACCCACTACATTCCAGTAGCAGCTCCTATCCCCCCTCCCCTCCCGCTAAGACGTGACCATCACAAATGTTTCCAGATGTTGCTTCCGAGAGCAAAACTGTACTGGGTTGAGAGCCACCAACTGAAACCAAACCATTTCCTTCAAAGTGGTAACAAAGGAGGGATGTGGTGGGAAGAGGAGCAGGCTTCCAGAGGCCCCCGGGGTGACTCACGTTGTCGGAATGACCATGCTTCTGTCTCCACTGCACCACCACTATCTGGGCGATGACCAGGGCACAGAGGAAGATCAAGACCATCTCCACGTGCACGGACTCATGGCCCCAGTGCATCCTGTACATCCTCTCCTGCCACAGGCTGGAACCAGCAAAGGAGGTCAGCTGAAAAAGCCCTCAACTCTTGCACATTTAGCAGAACAAGAAAAATAGGTGGGACTCATAAGAAGCAACTGGGAATTTCAAATGTAGGGGTTTTGAAGCTTTGATTACAAAGTTTTCCAAAGTCCTTCTTGGTCCCTCCCTTTCCCCTGGGCTTGGGGAAGGGACAGCTGAAAGTAGGAGCCTGAGTTTGTCAGCAAAACCAATTCCTCTCAGCCCTTAGCTTTCCCATGTGCTTTTGGCCTCAGCCTTGTCCTTTCAAGGAAAGTGATGGGGCCAAAAGCTCACTGATGGGCCCTGGGAAGACCTGGGTTCTAGCCCCTGATCTGCCACATTTATCACCTTGGGAAAGTCACTTATTCTATCTGAGCCTCAGTTTCCTCATTTGCAAATCTCAAATGATGATCCCTCTGTACCTCGCAGGATTGGTCTAAAATTGTAAAGCACATATATATTTTATTTGTACCTATATGAGGAATAATAATTGCTATTAGGTTGAATCATATGAAATTGCCATTTTTGAAAGTAAAAAAAAAAAAAACCCAGTCAAATATTGGTAATTTCAAGTAATTTCTAACATTCTCAAGTACAAGGATATCCTGCAGATGGCGCCTGTGAAGAGAATATTATCCGCGGGGCTACAGAAAACTCCTGAGCTGTATAAATCATTTTCATTATAAGGAGAAAGAAGAGGCCTAAGTATTATCTTAGGCACAAACATTCAGAGGATGGCTAAATGCTTCAGTGTTTAGTTGGACTCTTAATTTTATACAGTGGTAGAGAAAACCACTAAAATATTATGTCATCTGGTTTAACTTCCTACAGCAGAAGTGGTCTCTAAAAGAGTCTAGAGCAGAGGCTCTTGACCTGGTCTGTGAGTTGGAAATCACTGGGGAGCTTTTAAAAATCACAGTGCCCAGGCTGGACCCCAGATCAATGAAGTGAGCATTGCTGGGTGTTCTGGGCTGAACTGGGTCCCCTCAAAATTCATATGTTGAAGTCCTAACCCCTAGGACCTCGGAATGTGACTGTGTTCGGAGAGGGGGTCTTTAAGGAGGCAATTAAGGTAAATGAGGTTGTTAGGACGGGTCCTAATCGAACATGACTGGTGTCCTTATACGTGAGGACACAGACTCCCACAGGGAAGACACAAGGAGAAGGTGGCCACCTGCAAGCCAAGGAGGGAGGCTTTAGAAGAAATCAAAGCCTGCCAACCTCTGGATCTTAGACTTCTAGCCTCCAGTCTGTGAGAAAATAGATTTCTGTTGTTATAGCACCCAGTCTGTGGTGCTTTGCTATGGCAGCCTGAGCAAACCGATAGAGATTTCCAGGATGGGATCCAGGCATCAGTAATTTTTAAAGTTCCCTGTGTGATTTTAAGGTGCAGCCAAGATTGGGATTCACTGGCCTAGAGGAGAGAGCAGTCCGAGATCAAGATTAGGGAAAAGGGGGAAAAGTATGAATCTTGCCAATCAATTATTTTATAAATACTGATTAGCATTATCTTTCACCCCAAGTGGGGAACCATCAGTCACAAAATCTCTCAGCGTCCACTTATGACTGGTCACAATATATATTTAGTTAGAGCACTGATCAGAAAGCACTCCAGGGTAATATTCTGGGACCTTTTAAAGGCACTTGTTGGGTACCTGGGTTGAGTCTTTGTCTTTACCAGCAATTCTATAGAGCTGCCTCAGTAAGAGCCCCATCCAAATCCCAGGGGTGCCCCCTGCTGGAGAATGCACAGAAATGAGCCCACAGACCCTCATAAATATTCCTGCTTGAGTTCAACTTTTCCGAGATGGAATCTGAGAATGTTAATGCTGGGAGGTACCGTAGATGTACTGAGACCCCTTCATTTATCAAATGAAGAAGCTGAAATCCACATCAGGTAAACAACCTGAATAAAATTACATGGCTATTAGTTTCTGTGTTGGAAGCTTAGCTTAGGAGCCGAGAATAATTTCTAGAAGCTCTTTGAAAAATATATTCATTCTTCTGAAGAAATGTGAAGTGCAAAAAAAATAAAAGGGTACAAGTACTTAGTTATAGTTTTTACATCCCCCAAATCCCAAATAACTATTTAATATTCTCTGTAATGAGTGGACTTCAACTTAGGCCATGTAGATAGAAGAGTGAATTTATCATCAGTCTAAAATAGGGCTTGCATAGATATCAAACAAAATATACTTTATGACATTAATCTATTTTGTGCATATACAGTAAAATGCATCTCAGATGGTTAACCTATGTGGAAGTACTTTGGAAAGTATAAAGTAGTGTACAAATGTAATAAATATTTCTACTTTGATTAGGAATACATTCATAATTGATAACCATAATGTAAAAAAGGGGGAACATTTCACTTTTATTTCATTTGGTGCCCATAGGGGTCTAATGGTCCCACAGTAGGTGCCATAGCACAGGGGAAACAGCCTATAAAGAAAACCAGATGTGTCTTGTGCCTCAGAGGACAAGGACATATAAGGACATGTATTGAGGGACATACGCATTTGTGGGACTTCATGGAGCCTACTGCAGAAAACAGATGAAATCCCTGTGGTTTTGGTCTATACAATCACTGTGCACACATGGCCATGCTAACCCACATTCTATCCTGGGAAATTTATAAATAAAATGATGGCTTCATTTAATTTCTCAAACTGTTAAGATGGAAGTCTAATTTTTAGTATACCAGCTATAAAAAAATACAAATCACTTATTTCCACTCATCATCCGCAGAAAGCTTTGTGTGAGAGATCTGAAAAACATAAAAAGGGCCCTTCTCAAATTTTTCTTGTTTTCTTAGCTTGCATTTTACAGCATTACATGAGAAACCCAAACCATGAAAAAGAGTGATGTTTCTTAGTGTTGGAATAATTTAGGATGAAAGTGCTAATAAAATATTTGCTTATGGAACAAAAGCACACATACACATACACACCCTAAACAAAACAGTAATCAGGTCACTATTAATAAATACTTGATTCTTCTGTCTAAGGTCAGAGAACCAGATGAGGCCCCATTCCTGTGGTTTTGTCTGGCAATTCAGTCAAGGTTGTAGGGAGTGGCCTCCTAATGGGCAATGTTACCCTGGCTTCTGGTATATGATCTGTGAATTGGAGAACCTCTAAAAAACATCTGTTTTGCTGGTGTCTTAAATGATGCCAATGAGTAAATATCATCTCCAAGTTCAAGGTTTTAGAGTCAGAGCTGACCAGCTACTTGTTTGCAGCATTTTTGTGTCCTCCTGTTAATTTAATTTAAACCCTGACCCCAGGGAAGGGGGATAATGTGGCCTTGCCCTTGCACACTGAGCGGGAGAGCATAGAGACCATCCCCAGGAAGTGCTTCAGGCTGACCTACAGAGTGTTCCCACATGCTGCCTGCCTTCCGTTGGTCACTGCTAATCCACTACATTGGGTCATTTGAAGCCTTTAAGGCCAATCTTCGAAAAGACATCATCGTCTAACCTTCATGGAGAACACAGCCTGCTTAATCTCTAGTCCAGTAGCATCAAAAGCTAAAAATCCCTAATGATGGCAAAGAAGAGAAGGCAAATAAAGCATCTGTTACACAAATCTGACATTAAACAGCTTTTTTTCCCTTTGTTTTCTTCAAATGGCATGAACAATTCCGACAGATGGAAAGAAACAGCGCCATCCATATTTCAGGCTAGGCTTTCTCTGACTTGAGGTCAACAGGTTCCGTAAAACACCTATGCCTTGGTCAGAGGCTGGAGAGGTTCCCTTATAAGAGAGATGAAAGCTCCGGGTGATACAGCTAAGCAGAGGCTTGGGCGGTATCTGCACAACGCGAGGGCTGGCTGGATGATGTCAGGAGAGGAAGTGGGTGAGGCAGCAGGGGATGCTGGCAGCTTCTCCCGGGCTCTCTGCCCACTGGTGGTCCCACCAGGTGGTCCCTGATATCCAAATGGAGGTCACAGCACCTGGGCTCAAGGCTGCTTTCCAGGAGCAAAACCTTAGTGGCAACCCTCAGGGGAGAGCGGTACCCGAGTCTCCTCCTTTGTGTGATAGGACCCACTCGTCTGACAACTGCTTTGGGGGAGAAAACACTGGATGGGCTTGGAGCCCTGAGCCATGCAGCCACCCAGCAACACCCAGCACTAAACATCGTGCTGACTGGGGCTTTGGGTGACCCAGGGCATGTCACCAGCCTGTGTTTGTCTCCATTTCCTTCTTAGAGACTCTGGAGATTGACATAAAAGCTGCTCTTGTCTACTTCACTGGAGCACTGTGAGTATAAATAAGACAATAGATGAGAGTTTTGTAAGAAGGTGCTTCATCCAAGGGCCAATTATCTCAGTAAAAGTTGTAACCAAAGACTCCCTGGGTCCTTTTCCTTTTGCTATTCAAGATCTTTGGGTTCATAGTGCTTTTTGTTCAGATAACCTTAAAACAGGGAACGGGGTTTTTTGTTGAGAAGATAAATTCCCTTTGACTTTTACAAGCAATATAGCCCTGGGCATAAATGTGTAGCTATCTATCAGATTCTAAGCCTTTTTTTTTATCGATTTACCATATCATATTAGTTTCAGGTGTACAGCAGAGTGATTCAGTATTTTATAGATTATACTCCATTAAAAGTTATTACAAGATAATGCTATAATTCTCTGTGCTATACAGTATAACCTTGTTGCTTATCTATTTTATACATAGTAGTTTGTATCTCTTAATCCCACTTCCCTAATTTGCCCTCCCACCTCCCTTTCCACTTGGGTAACCACTAGTTTGTTTTCTATATCTGTTAGTCTGTTTCTCAAGTCATTTTAAAAGGAGTATGATAAATTATTCTACAGAAGACCAGGAAAGCTTAGGGAGTGGAAATTATAGCTGAAAAGATTTCTGCTAAATATTGGATACAGTTAAGAACTTCCTTAGATCAAGTGATATTGAAACAATATTCTTATTTCCTAGGGAAAAAGCACACTATGATGGTGATGGAAATGACAATGATATGCTTAGAGACATCTCTTTCCTAGTAATAGTTCCCTATAGTACAATATTTTTTTCTAGGGTGGAATCTACTTTTTGACAATTTTTTTCTGGTATGTAAGCCCATCTGGGATCTTAAGAGGATTTATGTTGGAAATTGAAATGACACTAAGACTTATGCTTATCTGAAGGATAAGCAGAAGGATAGCCAGGAAAATTCAGAAGAAGTGTAAAGACTTGGCCTATCAGCCACTGAAATCTACAATACAGCCACAGAAATTAATTGAAAGCATTACTGGCCCAGGAAAAAGAAGACAGATGAGTGAACAGAACACAGAGGCCAGGAACAGACCCAGCTACCTATGATAAGCAGTGAGAAATCAGTGAGAAAGAAATGGATTGTTCAATAAATGGTGCTGAGACCATTAGCTAGTCATTTGGGAAAAATGTAAAGCCGGATCCATACCCGGCTTCAGAAGGATCAAATATTTAAATGTAAAAAGGAAAATCTTAAAAGGGCTAGAAGTAAATATGGGTCAATATTTTAATAATCACGCAGTGAAGAAGGCATTTCTAAGTATGACGTGGAGCCCAGAAATTGTAAAGTAAAAAAATTGATGAATTTTGAGGACATAAAAATCAAATACGTTAAAATCACCGATATTTGAAAGACAAATTAAACTGGAGAAGATACAACATATGGGAGGGCAAGAAGTGAATAACCTGAATAGAAAAAGCGCTTTTACAATTTAATCCAAAAGAGACAAAACATTTCCAAAGGGCAAGACACATGAACAAGAGCTTCATAAAAGAGGAAACACAAATGGCTCATTTATGAAAAGATGTTTAAACGCATTAGTAAAATCTTTGGAAAAGCCTTTGTGAAAGAAGACTGATTGTGCTGAAGACCCTTGGGAAGGCTGAGGGGTGGAGGGGTCCTAACACTTCTGGAAGTGTGGGTGCAGCTGGGTGAAAACAGAAGGTTCAGTTAAGAGTGGTGGGAGGCTTTGTGTCCTGCTCCTCTGCACCCCACCCCTGGGGCAATTGGACGGGGCTCAGAGGCCCAGGAGCTGGGAGGGAGAGCGGAGGCATTGAAAGCCTGTGTCTGGAGGAGGGATCCCAGCCCCATCCTCTATCAGTCCCCACGGGCATTGCCTTGCTCTACAGGGCCCTGTGCATCTCTAACCTGGAAACACAAAACCTTTTTTTTTGTCTTTTCTAACTCTTAAGAAAATAGTTTGAAAGTTTTGTCGCTGGTTGAGTAGAAATTGACAGAAGAGGGCTGGTGTAGGGTGGAGACCCTCAGGTGGGTTGAGGGAGAAGGGCGGAAATAAAAACAGTCCCAGCCCTGGGAAATCAGAGATAGAGTTTTTAATTTGCCTACCCCCCGCCCCAGGCCATCCGAAGCTGGTGTCTAAGCAGATGGGGTCCCCCTTGTAACCGCACTGCCTCTCTCCCTCCACTGCGGTGGGGTCGTTTGGAAGGAGCTAGGAACAGCCTGGAAATCCTAAGTCTGAGAAGTGAGGAGGTAAGGTGTGCGGGGGTTGGGGGGGCCCTTCCTACCCAGGGTCCTTGGGGCGTCTGATGGCACCAGTCCTCCTCCCTGGTTTCCGTGCTGCAGTGGGTTGAACTATGTCCCTCCACGTTCCCCCCGCCCACCCCCCGCCAAAGATATGGCCAATTCCTAACCTCTGGTACCTATGACTGTGATCTTATTTGGAAATAGAGTCTTTGCAGATGTGATCAAGTTAAGGATCTTGGGAAGGGATCATCCAGGATTTACAGTGGGTCTTAAAGCCAACGGCTGGTGTCCGTATAAGAGAAAGTCAGAGGGAGATTTGACACCTAGAGACACATAAGCACAGAGGAGAAACATGCAGGAGGAGGCCACGTGAAGACAGAGGCAGAGACTGGAGGTAAGCAGCTATAAGCCAAAGACACTTGGAGTCCCCCGAGGCTGGAAGAGGCAAAGAAGGATTCACCCTAGAGTCTTTGGAGGGATCATGGCCCTGCCTATACGCAGGTTTTGGACTTCTGGCCTCCAGAACTGTGAAAGAGTAAATTTCTAATGTTTTTTTTTTTTCCCTTTTCTGTCAATATTTCTTTTATTTTCTGTATTTTTAAAATAATTTTTATCAGAGTACAGTTGATTTACAATGTTGTATTAGTTTCAGGTGTACAGCACGGTGATTCAGTCATACATATACATGTGTCTATTCTTTTTCAGATTCTTTTCCCATATAGGCCATTACAGAGTACTGAGTAGAGTTCCCTGTGCTGTACACTAGGTCCTTATTAGTTATCTATTTTATATATAGTAGTGTCGGTATGTCATCCGAACCTCCCAACTTATCTCTCCAGTAAATTTCTATTATGGCAGCTCCGGGAAATGGATACAAGCATGTCCAGTCCCAGCAGGTCTTTATACACTCCGGTTTGCAAGCAGCGGGGCGGGTGGGGAGGGTATGACCCCTGTAAGCTCTGGGTCAAGCAGGCTGCACAGGGACCTGTGGGTGGACCCTGCAGGCAGGCCTGGCAGAGCAACTTGACTTATAATCTTTAGACATGTGGCATGTGGGACTTTGTTTGTACTCTTGCCCTGGGCCTATCAGATGCGGGCCTGCCACTTGGCTGGGGATGCTCGCTGCCAGGCAGCACATGGAAGACCAGAGAACTCTTTGTAAAACCATCCAGAACAAGAGAAAAGACTTACAGATGTGGGCCGTCATCATTCTTCCTGTGAAAAGGCCCAGGTAGGTCCCCTTCCAGCTCAGCCTGCCCGTCAACAAGTTCTCTCTGCTTACGGGAGCTTCTGAACAGTGTTTTAGTGTCTCCTCTTAAATATAAACAGATGGCCAAAGATCACCAAGTCCTTGAGTCAGGAAAGGGTTCTGAAATGATGACAGGACCCCAGGCTTTAAAAATGGAAACAAACAAAATCTCTTAGAAATGAAAAATTTGAGAACAGAAATTAAAAATCTAATGGAAAAGTTGAAGATAAATTATGAAACTCCCTCAGAAAGAATAACCAAAAACCACCAAAGGAGATGGAAAAGAAGAAAGAAAATATATGAAAATTAGAGAATCTGGCCAGGAAATCTCAAATCCAAAATAGAGTAGTTCCAGAACAAGACAACAAGATAGCTGAAAATAAGAAATTTAAAAGAAATTCTACAAGAAAATTCCCAAGGATTGAAAGACAACTGTTTTCAAATGAAAGGACTCACTAGGTGCCCAGCACAATAAATGAAAAAAGAGCCACGTCAAGTCACACCAGTTGGAAATTTGAAAATTGTGTTTCAGAGGAAGAGCCTGTCTGGAGAGAAAACGCAGGTCAAATGTAAAGGATCAAAACTCAGGATGGCACTGACCCCGAAACACCATCTCCACAAGTTACAAAGAGAGCAGAACAAAGTGTTCAAACTTCCAAGGGAAAATTACTTCTATAGGCAAACTACCAATCAAGTCTGGAAGCAGAATGAAGATATTTATGGACATGCAACATTTCAAAAACATTCATCTCCCATGTGTCCTGTCTCAGGATGCTCGACTGAAACAACAGAGTAAAGTGAGAAAGA